CCCTCCTCCCACTGATCCACCCACTCAGTCGTCAACACAACCCCCACCAGCCCCATCCCACCCCATGGCAACTCGATCTAGCCATGGAATTATCAAACCATGTACTCGCCTAAACCTACACACCACCAACATCTCCCCTCTTCCCAAAAACCCCCACCTTGCCCTTCACGATCCTAACTGGAAACATGCCATGGCTGACGAATACAAGGCTTTATGTGACAATGAGACATGGGAACTAGTGTCGCGACCTCCGGACGCTCATGTTATACGTTGTATGTGGCTTTATCGCCATAAATTTCATGCTGATGGTTCCCTACAACGATATAAGGCGCGTCTTGTTGTTAATGGTAAATCTCAACAAGTTGGCATAGACTGTGATGAAACTTTTAGCCATGTGGTTAAACCTGCGACTATTCGCACTGTTCTTACACTTGCAGTGTCTCGATCATGGCCAATCCATCAACTTGATGTTAAAAACGCATTTTTACACGGGAACTTAACCGAAACGGTCTACATGCATCAACCCCCGGGATTTGTTGATCGTAGCCATCCTCATCATGTTTGCAAATTACGAAAGTCCCTTTATGGACTCAAGCAAGCCCCAAGAGCTTGGTACCATAGATTTGCCTCATACATCACATCTCACGGTTTCAAAAGTGCAGTAACCGATACATCATTATTTGTTTACCACCATGGGCATGACACCGCATACTTGTTATTGTATGTTGATGACATTATCCTTACAGCTTCTTCATATTCAATTTTAAGAAGTGTCATCACTACCTTGTCATGAGAATTTGCAATGACAGCTCTGGGTACTCTTCATCATTTTCTCGGCATACAGGTTCATCGCACCTCTCGTGGTCTCTTCCTCTCCCAATCCACATATATATGCGAGAGCTATAATTATCAGGGCAAACATGACAAATTGCAATCTGGTCGCAGCCCCAGCCGACACTTCTTCCAAAATGAGTGCAACTGCTGGAAAACCCCTTGAAGATGGCACTCTTTACCGTAGCCTAGCTGGAGCTTTGCAATATCTCACCTTTACGAGACCTGACATCGCATATGTTGTTCAACAAATCTGCCTCTTCATGCATGCACCAAGGGAACCCCACTTCAACTCATTAAAATGCATTATTCGCTACATTCAAGGCACCATTAATCAAGGCCTTCACATTCATGCATCCCCAAACCTACGCATCACTGCCTATTCAAACACTTATTCAAACACTGATTGGGGGGGGGGGGGGGGGGGGTATGCCCCGACTCTCGCAGATCTACATCTGGATATTGTGTATTTCAAGGAGACAACCTTGTCTCATGGTCCTCAAAACGTCAACCTACAGTATCTCGCTCTAGCGCAGAGGCTGAATACAAAGGCGTTGCAAACGCCACTGCAGAAGCAAGCTGGCTTAGGAACCTGTTACTCGAACTGCATGTGCCCATCACTAAAGCTACAATCGTTTATTGTGACAACATCTCTGTAGTGTATCTCTCTGACAATCCCTTGCAACACCAAAGTACAAAACATGTCGAAATCGACATCCATTTTGTTCGAGAACTCGTTCAAATAGGAAGAATCCGAGTCCTTCATGTTCCCTCTGATCATCAATATGCGGATATCTTCACCAAAGGCCTACCAAAACAGCTTTTTCAGCGCTTCAAGTCCAGTTTGAGTGTCCACTCTCCTCCCGCTCAAACTGAGGGGGTATATTAGTCATTACTATTATTGTTGTATATTTGTGTATATATTCTTCCCTATTTAGCCTCCTGTATTTTAGGTAAGTTAACTATTACGTATCTATATATTTTGTGTATTGTTTTTAATGAGAGACAAGGGGAATTCTACGGAAACCTTTAAAAAGGAGAAGGAATTCTGGTTTATTTAAAGGGCAATATGGCCTTCATTTGATACATACTAGATGTATAAACTTCGATCTCAAATAGGATTTGATTCAGAGCATGTAATTTGTGCTACTATAATTTTTAAGTATTGGAAAAAGAACAAGTGTCATAAGATATTCCTCCAAAATAAAAAATGTTGACTAAATAATACTAGTTAATGGTGGTTGTGCATCTCCTCTATGCAATACTTCAGCTCCTCATGTGTCTCGTATGCTAAGTTCAAGTTGTATAGATCAGAAGGCATGTACCCTAAAGTCATTCCATGAAATATATTAACACTTTTATAGTATTCCATGTATTCTTTTAATTCAAAATAAATCATTTTTAAATCATAAGTACCTTGTGGAGCAGCATATTCGGTTGGAAGAGCTAATCACACTAATGTTGTACCACATCAAGATAAATCTACATCCTTTGCATCCAGATCCATGTACCACTTTTTGCTACAACTTTCCCAATTAAAACCTTGAAAATACGAAAACAATTTATTAGATATCAATGAAAGATAAAATATTTTAATTAATTTATATTTATTAACCACTATCTCGCACCATGTGCGTGTGGCTCTGTCATATGGGGTCCTCTGCCACTGAATGATCTTTCTTTGCAGAGCATGTTCTACAATATATAGCCACAGAGAGCAACACCAACACACATAAGATATACTTATCTATATTACGTGTATAACAAAAGGAGAAATGAAATTTTAACTACAACAAAAGGAATGGAAGTTCACATGCTATGCATTTCGGCCAAACTCAAACAAATTCAAGCACTCAAAACACAAACATATGTAATTTTAGTGTATTGGTTTTTAATTGGGCATTTAATCAAACAGACTGTATGCATTTCTGCAAACAATACACTTAGATTATAAAACATAAAAAAATCGAGATGCATCAATATGTGCATCATGGGGTAAAAAACAAGTGTTCTATATAGCTGCTAATGAAGATAACTTGATCAGAAAAACCACAGAAGGGAAAAACACACAAAAAGAAGAAAAAATCAATTGAACGTGAGATATGTACCTATAGATCAATTTTGGTGGGGTCTTATTATCTCAACATTTGGGTTAGGTTAATGAGTTGTGTTGGTTCTCTTCGTTGAGCATGCAGAAGTCATTAAGGAGTATCTTGCAGCCACTTTTATACTTCTTGGTGGAGTTTATAGTTATTTGGAAATGCTGCTTTGTTTCTAAAGGTGAGTCTAAAGAGGCTTATTTGTTTGACAAAATTGTTACTTGGCAGTTTGTCAGTTTGTCTAGGATAACAAGAGGCTTAGTAGGAAGGTCAAAATAAACGTAGGTGAGGTGGCTTCAAAATCCCATCCTTGTTGTTGTTGATGTGCTGTTATTTTCTTTAGTGAAGTCTACTTCCTTTCTAACCATATAAAATCATGACGTTCCGAACAAAAATTAACGGAAATTGTCAAAAATGTCCCAATATTTTCGGAAAAGTTTTACTTTAGTCCCAAAAAAAAATTTTATGAACAGAAAAGTCCCAATTATTTGATTTTACACTATAAAATGTCATTGAAAGAAAAAAAAAATTGTTAATTTGAGCAAAAATGTAATAATCCGGACTTTTCGGTTCAAAAAAAAATGGGACTAAAATAAAACTTTTCTGAAAATGTTAGAACTTTTTTGACCATTCCCAAAAATTAACAAACAAATTATAAGAGTTTGTTAGTTGACTTCGACCTATTAACATCAGAACGATTATGGTTGACTTTTAAGAGTCAAACGGTTTTGATTTCGTTTTGATAGCAATGATGCAAGACCTGCAATATATATTCCATTGATGGTCGTTTGTCTTGTTTTAATTGAAGACATTTTAAAACAAGTTGAGCCAACTTGAATGCTCCCTCTGGGGAAGAATCGTTGTGTTGAAGTCGTGGGTCCATAATCATTCTCATATTAACCTCATCTTCTAGAAATGGAATAGCCCATTCCACCAGGTTTTGTTTTCCAAAGGGTCTCCTTTTATCATACACCTTCATCCCTGTTAGTATTTCCAATAGTACAACTCATAAAGCATAGATCTCAATCTTAATTGAAAAACCTGTCAAAGTGGTGTTTGATTGGTCAGCCATTGACACATGTGTTTGGTATGATGGAATCAAAGAAGGCATGGAATAGTCCGTTTCCTTGGTTAGAAAAGAAAATATGTTATGTTTGTCCGATGTAGCAGAATCAAGCATTCCTTAAGGAATTTGATTCCATTCATTATGTTTATTTTCATTTTTTAGACACCAAACATTTTTTTTTCATTCCATCATGGAATGGAATGAAAAACTGTAATATAACCCATTTTTATTTATAAATTTTTTAATGACTCAAACCTTTTAAGAATTGTTGATTTTAGCTAAATATGATCTAATTTATCAAAAATAACTAGAAACATATATTTTCTATTGTGTTTAATCTTTAATCTTCTAGTGTTGTAAATATTAAAATTTATATTTATCTAGTTAACTTATATATAAAATACTGTTTAAACTGTACCTGTATTTATATATACAATAGAAAAATTGTATAAAACCTCATTCCATTTCTACGGGTCCACCAAACATGATGTGGAATGTAATGACCTATTCCATTAACTTGTGTATTAAATTACTTTAGTAGTTCCATTCATACGTTATTCCATTCCATCAAACCAAAGGCTTATGGTAAGTGCATGATAAACAATTGGTTTTTATATCCTTTTTAGATATACAAAATATTTCATTTTTTAGATATAGGTCAAACTGAACTGGGTCAGGTAGCTTAATATCCGATCATTCCTGTTACTGTGATGTAATTTTGTATAGTGTAACTCCTTGGTACCTTATAAAATGCAGCTGTTCTGAAAAGAAAATTAACAAAATGACTCTAAGAGTTTGATAGTTGACTTCGATCTAAAAGATTGGAATATGGAAATACAACATGCTTCACTGGATATACTCCAACATAATCTGCTATCCAATTGCTTGATTCTTGTTCACTTTTGGACATGAGTACCAAATAAGTAAACGCAAAAATCTCAAAAAGATATTAACTTTATTTAGGCATTCTACAATGGATCAAACATTCATTCAGTATCATCTTTCCTACTTATTTATTCATCTGATTTCCAGGACCTCGTATACGTACATTCAAAGGTCTATTAATATAAGAACTATTTTGTTTGAGTTTTAAGAGCCAAACTGTTTTGATTTCATTTTGATAGCAATGATGCAACACCTTCAAGATGTATTCCATTGATGTGTGTTTCTCTTGTTTTGGTTGAAGACAGTTTAAAATAAGTTGAGCGAACTTGAATGCTTCCTTTGGAGGACAATCAATATGTTGAAATTGTGGGTCCATAATCATTCTCAATTTAACCTCATCTGTTAGAATTGGAATAGCCCATTCCACCAGTTTTTGCTTTTCAAGGGGCCTCCTCCTATCATACACCTTCATCCCTGTTAGTATTTCCAACAGTACCACTCCAAACGCATAGACTTCACTCTTGATTGCAAAACCTGTCAAAAAAGGAATGGAATCAAAGAAGGAATGGAATGATGGAATCAAAGAAGGAATGGAATGGTCCGTTTCCTAGAAAAGATGTTATGTTTGTCCGATGGAGTGGAATGGGGCATTCCTTAAAGAATTCGATTCCATACATTTAGTTGATTTACATTCTTTAGAAAAGAAAAGAAGTTTTTTTTTTTTTCATTCCATCGTGGAGTTGAACGAAAAATTATAATATAACCCATTTTTATTTATAAATTATTGATGACAAATCTTATTAGAATTCCATGATTTTAACTAAATATGATTTTATTTATGAAAAATAACTAGAAATATATATATATATATATATATATATATATATATATATATATATATATATATATATATATATATATATATATATATTGTTATTATCTCATTTCGGTTTTGGTGAGCTTCTATTATGTTTAATCTTTTAGTTTTATAAATAAAAAATTATACACTTATTTAGAGAATTTATATATAAAATAAAAACTATCGCTTGTATTTATATATACAATAGAAAATTTGTATAAAATTCATTCCATTTCTACGTTTACCAAACATGATGTCGAATGTAATGACCCAATTCAAATCCTTGCTTATTCCATTACTTTGGTTATTCCATTCCATCCAACCGAAGGCTTTTAGTGGTTGGGGTAAGTCATAAGTGCATGGTAAACAAATGGTTGCATTGAGAATATAAAAAAATTTCACTTTTGAAGAAAAAGATACCATTTTCAGGAAGTTGGAGTCGGTGAATACCATCAAATGTATCTGATTCGTTATAAACGGCTGCATAATAATATGCATCCAACTGGAAGGTGTGAGTATCAAAACCAATATCTGTAAGCCTAGCATTAAAATCCTGAAATAAGCAAGAAATATATAATCATATAAAAGAGAAACTACGATTGATGTTATTCTGCAAACGTGTTAAATGCAATGTAAATTTACCTCATCCACTAATATATGATGGGTCTTAAATTGGCTATATGCTGGCTGGTTCCTCTTATGTAAATACAACAAGCCTTCAGCTGCTCCTATTGCTATTTTTAATCGTGCAACCCACGAAAGTGAAGTTCTACGTGACTCTGCGTATAAAGTAATGTAAGAAAGGGAAATGCAATTTTCAATCATGCATATACGTTAGGGGAAATTGTAGAAAGTAGCAACGTACTTTACTCTTTTTACTAATACTTTACTTTTCACACATAATAGCAATATATTTACTTTAATTTACCCATAACATGAATGTTCTTACATTTTTTTTACCAATAATAGCAATTTTTAACTCATAATAGTAATATACTAACATTCACTTTACAAATAATAGCAACATAGAAACAATTATGTGTTCATAATAGCAATGTGCTTACACTTTACCACAAATGACAATATGTAGCAAATAAAGTAAAGTACATTGCTATAACTTACAAATAATAGCAACATAGAAACAATTATGTGCTCATATTGGTAGAAAAAGTTAAGTACATTGCTATAACTTACAATAGGTTAAAAATAAAGTCCATTGTTATTGTAGATAAAGAAATGTATGTACATTGCTATTATTGGTAAGAAAACAAGGTACATTGCCCATATTGGTCGAGAGAGTAATGTAAGTTGACATTCTCCGCAATTTTCCATTTATTGTATGCCAACCAATGAAAGCAAGCGTGTTTGTGCAAGGGTATGATTGAAAAATATTTACAACTAACTGAAAGGTATACTTACCTTCGTACAGATATCTATCCAAAGTTATGCCAGATATGAGCTTGTAAACACAAAATAGTTCATGATAATTCAAGCAATATCCCAAGAGTTTTACAATGTTCGGATGATTGAAATCTTCTGGCTTGATGTCCTGTCGCACAACCAAATTGTCAAATTAAGAAGCTAGCAAATATCAGACTGAATGAAAAATATATGAGGCTCGTTCATTATGCGATTTAAATTAACCCAACACATCCACATCATTTCAAATATTGGAAGTACCTTTCGTGTTGGAATCTCCATTTTCCTAACATACATCGCTAAACCAACACCGTATTTTGTTGGCGCATATGTCTTTTCATCAACCCAACCTTTGTAAATGGATTCATTTATATTTGGGAATTGTTTCTTGTCCTGGAAACCATTCGTTGCAATTACCAATTCAGCATATGTGAACGTTCTAAAACTTTCATCAGTATCTTTTCCTATTGGATCATTAACATCAGCTACTTTCCCAACGAAAAGAGATCTTAGCTTGAAGATGAATCCTTCATCATCAACAACCGAATTGGCGCTTTCTCTTTCTTGTGAAAGAATAGACTCGAGCTTGAAAACAACCTCTGCCATGGTAGGGCGGTGTTTCGGTTGAGTGTGTAAACAGTGGCCTGCTATGCTTACAAACTCTTTCAAGCATTTTTTTGATATTTGTCCAATCAATCTCGGGTCAATATTTTGATTGATCTTTCCTTCTTTGATTTGGTGTTGAGCCCAAGCTGCTAAACCCCAGTGCTCTTCATCAAGACTTGAATCTACAGCTTTTCTTCCTGATAACACCTCAAAGAGTACAACACCAAAAGCGTAAACATCAGTTTTCATCGTCAATTTTCCGGTATAGATATAGCACGGATCCATATACCCAAATGTCCCTTTCACAGCTGTGCTCATATGAGTTCGTGTCTGATCAATTACCCCAACTTTAGCCAATCCGAAATCTGAAATTTTAGCAGCAAAGTTCGCATCCAACAAAATATTGGATGACTTCACATCTCGGTGTATGACTCCATGTTGAGTTGATGTACCCATGTGAAGGTAGTCTAATCCTCGAGCTGCCCCTATACATATCTTGAGTAGTTGTAACCATGATAAAGATAAATCAGGGGAGCGAAGATGATCTTCAAGTGTTCCATTCGGCATGAACTCATAAACGAGCACCATCTCTTTTACTTCATTGCAATAACCAATTAAGGATACAAGATTACCATGTCGCAGCTTAGAGAGGACCTTGACTTCCGACACAAATTCATGGGCTCCTTGATTGGACATGGAATGCAACCGTTTGACTGCAACATGGCTCATTGACCCGATTTTGGAACATTTATACACCTTGCCGAATCCTCCCCTGCCAATGACTAAAGCCTCGTCGAAGTTTTCGGTAGCCGCTTCAATCTCAGCAAGAGTAAAACGCTGACATGTCTGGTCTGGGAGTATGAAAGAGGAGTCGGCATCCTTGAGAGGTGAAGGTAACATCGTCGTGTAGCTATTCCTGATCAGACCTTTGATTCTTCACGATATCTCTTGTATCCAGAAAAGCTTCACAATTCCGGCAGTGATCGGGATGATTTCGTCTGGTTTTTGTGCCGGTCGTTATTGTGCTGCTAGCGGATGTCGGTTGACCATTGACTTTGTTTGTCTTCACTGAATTTCCCTTTTTGGGCAAATTGGAGGATAAGTAAGATATTTCTCGATTCATTTTAATTTTTTACATACTTGTGCAATTGGTCCCTCTATTTTGTCAAAATTCGCATGCTGAAGACAATTATAAAAACGTCAATGCATTTGGTTTATGTGGTTTGTAAACATTTTATGCATGGTACCTTTGCATACAATGTTTTGTCCGTCGTCAATTGTATAGACATTGATATATATGATATAATATAAATAATAAATAAAAAATTATCGGTCAATCCATTCACCAAACGAGTATTATGATAGTTGACAATGGTTAAGTCCAAATGTATCGATGACTCATAAAAGATTATCGTCGAGATTTGCAGCTTGACATATTATATACAAGTGGAAAAGTACTTATCTAATGCCATCTAAACCTTTAACAATTTGCAATGTACTTATGCTAATGTAGTAATGTCATTTAAATATATAACAACCGGCAATATAGTTATGCAAATGACAATATAGTTATGCAATGTACATATGCAAATAACAATGTGCTTATGATAGATTAACCATCATAAGAAAAACAGTTGTACCAAACCAAATGAAGATATACTTATACAAATGTCATTTAAATTAATAAATATAACAAAACAAAGTGACTATAAAGAGCCATGCTAAAGACTAAACTAGGCATCGTAATTTACCAACCATGTCTACATAATGACATTTAAACCTGATGACAAACATTAAATACCAAAATATCATCGTATTGATCAAAGTAATGACAAACCATAACAACAAAAAACCATTACAACTTATAAAGTAGACATTGTCTAAACAATTACACCATAAAACTCAAACATAATGGCCCAAACCAAACAGTTCCACCATCTAATGTGTGTGTCCACCTTGTCATTTTCCTAAAATTTCCATCTTGCCCCTTTCTTACAAGATCTGGTCGGTCCATCTTTGCCTTTGCACTATCTCGAGTTATGCACTTTGTTATGGAACTTGTTGCATGTAACTATAAAGTAATTCCTTTTGAGACTTAGACCATGGATGTTACACCATCTTCAACCCCGTTTCTCATCTTCTTTAGCCTACTAGATAATGAAAAAGGGATTAGAAACTTACGGTTTTGGCACAAAACATGAAATCTTGTTCTAGATCTGTGTATTTGGTATGTCGCATGAATAGTTTAATGGGTTATGACTACAATGCTCTAAGCAGACAAACATTTAAACTATTCAAATAAATGATAAGGGAACATGCAACCTAATAGAATCTATGTATTTCACACATGGGCAACATACTATGAATCATCATCCAACAAAACTTTCCTATGAAAACTAATTCATAAGAACAAGAAACTTACCTTGAAGATTCTTATTGCAAACAATCTTGAATTCCATCTTGAAAAACTCTTAGAAGCAAGCACCACAAGTGTCGTGCATCTGATGGTTCACACCCAAACCTTAGCAACCAAGGAACCTAAAGAGAGAGAAAGAGAGAGGAGAGGAGTAGGATTTTCAGCCAGATCTACTTAAGGAACGGAGTACCGAAAATATGAAGGGTGTGTTCCTTTATATAGCTGAGATTTGCTTAGTGTCAAAGCTAGAGTTTAAGGAGGAAACCTAATCCCTTTGGTTGGGGACCAAGCAGCCCATTTTCGTCCACCCCATCCAATGAGGTCCATGGGCTCCTTTCCTCAACTTTCAATAAACAACCAAACAAACACTACACTTTTAATTAATCCAATTAATCACAAAATTAATTTCAGTTAATTTCTTATTAATTATTAATTAAATAATACTATTTCAAATTAATATATTATTCTCATAATATATTAATAATTTATTTATTTCGATTTCTAATTAATTTATTAACTATATAATAAATTAATAAATCAGTCTCTCTCTCTCTAAAAGTTATTCTATTCAATTGCTAGGTTTGAGGGCAAGCCAAAAGGACTATGCTACTATCAACTCAAGTATATATCAAGTATGGTTATGGGCTTAAACACCTAATCTAAAATAATTTTATAGAGATTAGGGAGATATTGTATTTATATTCTCTATATAAACACTTTAATACATAGTTAAATCGTCAATGGGTTTTTACCATATTTCTTCTACACTTATTTGAGAACTTGTGTTTTAATTTTTGAGTATTTAAATTTTTTTCTTTTTAATATTGGACTTTGATGAGTCTTGCTGGATTAAGTGACATATACTACAAGGATTAATCTTAACCAATTTAAATTTTCGGCCGGGACAGGAAAACTACGTTCGAAATTCATAACTCCTTCATCTGAACTCCGTTTTCATCTGAACTCCGTTTTCATCTGTCTTTTTATCGTTGGACTACTACCGAAAAAATCTTCGACTCTCGTTTAGATCACTAAGGATAGATATCTATCTACCTTAAATTCACTATTTACGTCACGCTAGGTCGCGCTGGGTCATGCCGGTTCGGTCGCGAAACTTCGACAGGTCATAACTTCTTCGTTATAACTCGGATTTTGGCGTTCTTTATATGCACGGAAACCTTGTAACATATACTACAAATTGGTTAAGATTAATCATTATAAATAATCTTCCATAAAAAAGTCATTTTTGATGCTTATCGTCTCTAATTTGACTAGCTCGGATCTACGGGCGTTACAGTTCAGGCGCATACCAATTATAGTTATGAGCTTAGACACCTAATCCAACAGTTTATAGAAGAGGAACCAACTTGGTCTTGCCTTTAGGATTGTTATCAAATTGATTCGAAGTTAATTACTCCTTGTTATGTTTCATATTATGTTTAAAATCTTTGAAGGAAAAGGACGATTTGTTAATGATCACAACCATACAAATTACTTCATCCATTTTCATATTGTGTTGAGAAAACTGTCACAGGATTCTTAACATTTTACGTAATTGTTCCATAACAGGCATGAAGTCATTCATATTGTAACCCATAAAGTTACTGATCTTGCTGGAAACATCTTCAATCATGTATTTGGATTCAAGAGAATGCCACAATTCTTTTGTAGATTTAACATTTTGATAGATATTAAATAGAGAGTTAGACATACCATTGAGAATTTTTTCACTACAAATATAGTCATATTTATCCCACTTTGTTCTCCTCGTTGTTGCCTCTAAAGTTTTATCTTCAGTGAATGGCATGGGTGTACTAAAGACATTCACCACTTTTAGAGTCGCCACTTCCAATGATCACAAAATACTTCCATTTATAAAAATCTTGCCACTCAAACTTTTTCAACTTATCAAACTTGCCTGTCATGCCCTTCACAAAATCGCCACTTCCCATGATCAAAAAATACTTCCATTTTTGTTATAAATTTGGGGTGTAATAGCAATTGAAATTCTAAGAAGATTATCACTTTCAAATTGAATTATTTGGGTGGTACTTCCTAATCTTCAGTTGGATAAGACTCATAATGAGAAAACTAAAACAAAGAAGTGGATTTGTTATGAATTTTCATGAGTACCATAATTATGACCAAAATTAATTATAAACCATCTTTGTCTGAAAACTATCACAAAATAATTTTTTGTCCCAAAACTATCCAAAATTGTCCCTAACAATCATAAACTGTCATAAAAATGAGCATTTTAAAAAGAGTCAAAACAAAGTCAAAAATTGGGGCTTTGCCCTTTAGACCCCGCACCCAGGGGCACTGCCCCCGAACCCCCGCTCATTCAGGGGCTTCATGCCCCATAATGACAGTCTACTTTAAATCTTGAATAAACTTAAACAAATGTGCACTCTGCACATTCCTTACTTGTTTAATATTCATCAAGATTGATTTTGATCAACAAGTCAATCCATTATACTTAAATACAATTAATGAAACAATTTACCAACAAATTATTGATCAAAACCCAACTAAATGGAGCCTTTTAGTTCGTATAAAGGTGAATGTTTTATCATAGGTTTGGCTTTAAATAAGCTCCTTAATATAGATAACCACTTCTCTGCTGAGGTTTGGACATTCCTATGTGTTTATGTCTTACATGTGAAGTGAGTTTTGAGTTTGTCAGCCTTTTGTTCATTTCTTGGCTCATTGCCATGGCAATTTTCAGTTAGCTTGCGAGTTGGTGAGGTCTTATTATGTCCACATTTGGGTTAGGTTAATTAGTTGTGTTGGTTCTCTTCGTTGTGCATGCAGAAGTCATTAATGATTATCTCGAATCCACTTTTTATACTTCTCGATGGAGTTTATAGTTATTTGGAAATGCTGCTTTGTTTCTAAAGGTAAGTCTAAAGAGTCTGATTTGTTTCAAAAAATTGTTACTTGGCAGTTTTTGAGTTTGTGTAAGTTAACAGCATGCTTAGTAGGAAGGTCAAAATAAACTTGGGTGAGGTGGCTTCAAAATCCCATCCTTGCTGATGTTGATGTGCTGTTATTTTGTTTAGTGAAGTCTAGCTCCTTTCAAACTTATAAAATGCTGATGTTCTAAACAAAAATTAACAAACAAATTGTAAGAGTTTCTTAGTTGACTTCAATCTAAAAGCTTGGAATTTGGAACTACAACATGCTTTACTCAATATAGTCCCACATACTTGCCAACTACTTGATTCTTATTGAATTTCAATATGTGTACCGATTATGTGTCCCAAAAATCTCAAAGAAATATATATCAACTTTATTTAGACACTCTACAAATGGAGCATTCAGTACTATCTTTCCTACTTGTTTCTTCAGCTGATTTCGAAGATTGTATACTGTACATTCACATGTCTATTAACATCAGAACGATTATGGTTGACTTTTAAGAGTCAAACGGTTTTGATTTCCTTTTGATAGCAATGATGCAAGACCTGCAAGATATATTCCATTGATGGGCGCTTGTCTTGTTTTAGTTGAAGGCATTTTGAAACAAGTTGAGCCAACTTGAATGCTCTTTTTGGGGAAGAATCATTGTGTTGAAGTCGTGGGTCCATAATTACACTCAAATTAACCTCATCTGCTAGCAATGGAAGAGCCCATTCCACCAGTTTTTGCTTTCCGAGGGGTCTCCTCTTATCATATACCTTCATCCCTGTTAGTATTTCCAACAGTACCACTCCAAAAGCATAGATTTCACTCTTGATTGCAAAACCTGTCAAAGTAGTGTTCAATTGATCAGCCATTGAAACATGTGTTTGGTATGATGGAATCAAAGAAGGAATGGAATGGTCCGTTTCCTTGGTTAGAAAAGAAAAGATGTTATGTTTGTCCGATGTAGCAGAATGGAAAAATTGTATAAAAACTCATTCCATTTTACGGGTCCACCAAACATGATGTGGAATGTAATGACCTATTCAATTATCTTGCGTGTTAAATTACTTTAGTAATTCCATTCATACGTTATTCCATTCCATACAACCAAAGGCTTTTGGTAAGTACATAGTAAACAATTGGTTTTTATATCATTTTTAAATATAAAAAATATTTCACTTTAAAAGAAGACAATACCATCTTCAGGCAGCCGCAGTGGGTCAAGACCATCAAATGTGTCTGCTTGGTAACGAAACCACTCAGGGGCTGCGTAATAATATGCATCCAATTGGAATGAGTAAGGATCAAAAGCAAAATCCGAAAGCCGAGCATTAAAATCCTGAAAAGAAGCATCAATTATATAACTATATAAAAAAAAAAAAAGTAAAACTAATGTTATGCTGCAAGTGTGTTAATGGCAGTATAATTTACCGTATCCACCAATATATGATTGGTCTTAAATTGGCTATATGCTGGCTGTTTCCTCTTATGTAAATAAACCAAGCCTTCAGCTGCTCCTATTGCTATTTTTAATCGTGCAACCCAAGAAAGTGAAGTTCTACGTGACTCTGCGTATAAAGTAATATAAAAAAGGAAAATGCAATTTTTAGCCTTGCATATATGTTAGGGGAAATTTTGGAAAATAGGAACGTACTAACTCTTTTTATGGATACTTTACTTTTCACATATAATAGCAATATATTTAAATTACTATTACTATAGTATCAATGTAGTCACTTTTTCTCTTTTTACCAATAATAGCAATATGTAAGTCATAATAGTAACATACTAACATTCACTTTACACATAATAGCAATGTAGAAACAATTTTGTACTCATAATAGCAACGTACGTATACTTTACCAATAATGGAAAGATTTAAGAAATAAAGTACATTGGCAATATTGGTAGACAAATGTAAGCACGTTCATTTATAGGTGAAAAAGAAAGTACATTGCTATTATTGGTAAAAAAAAAAGAAAATTTTAAGTATGTTCCTATTATTGGTAAGATATAACTGGAAGGTATGCTGACCTCCGTAAAGATATTTATCCAAACTTATGGCTGAAATGTCCTCGTAAACACAAAATAGTTGGTGATTATTCAAGCAATATCCCAAGAGTTTTACAAGGTTGGGATGATTGAAATCTTCAAATTTGATGTCCTTCTGCACAACCAAATTGTTGACTTAAGAAGCTAAAAAATAGCACAATGCATGAAAAATACATGATGCTTATTCATTATGGGATTTAAAGTTATTCCCACATCATCATCATTTCAAAGATTGGATGTACCTTTTGTGTTGAAATCTCCTTCTTTCTAACATGCATTGGTAAACCAACACCATGTTTTGTTGGCTCATATGTCCTTTCATCAACCCAACCTTTGTAAATATATTCATTGAAAGCTGTGGATTGTTCCTCATCCTTGAAACCATTTGTTGCAATCACCAATTCATCATACGTGAAAGTTCTGAAACTTTGATTTGTAATGACTTCATTTGCAGTATCAACAGTGATTACTATTGGTTTATCGTGCGAACTGAAATCAGATTTGTTTTCTATTGCAGAATCAACTTTGCCTGTGAAAAAAGATCTTAGCTTGTAAATGAATCCATCTTCTTCAATATTATGATTGATGCAATCTCTTTCTAGTGATAGAATAGACTCGAGTTTCACCACAACCTCCGCCATGGTAGGGCGGTGTTTTGGTTGGGTGTGTAAACAATGACCTGCTATGCTTGCAAACTCCTTCAAGCATTTTCTGGAGATTTGTCCGATTAGTCTTTGGTCAATAATTTGATTGAGTTTTCCTTCTTTGATTTGCTGTTGAGCCCAAGCTGCTAAACCCCATTGCTCTTCATCAAGGGTTGAATCTACAGCTTTTCTTCCTGACAACACTTCAAATAGTACAACACCAAAAGCGTAAACATCAGATTTCATTGTCAATTTTCCTGTATAGAAATAGCACGGATCCATATACCCAAATGTCCCTTTCACAGCTGTGCTCATATGAGTTCGTGTCTGATCAATTACCCCAACTTTAGCCAATCCGAAATCTGAAATTTTAGCTGCGAAGTCTGCATCCAACAAAATATTGGAGGTTTTCACATCACGATGTATGACTCCATGTTGAGTTGATGTACCCATGTGAAGGTAGTCTAATCCTCGAGCTGCCCCTACACATATCTTCAGTAGTTGTAACCATGATAAAGAGGAATCCGGTGAGCGAAGATGATCTTCAAGTGTTCCATTCGGCATGAACTCATAAACGAGAACCATTTCTTTTTCTTCATAGCAATAACCAATTAAGGATACGAGATTACCATGTCGCAGCTTAGAGAGGACCTTGACTTCCGACTCAAATTCATTGGCTCCTTGATCGGACATGGAGTGCAATCGTTTGACTGCAACATCGGTCATTGACCCGATTTTGGAACATTTATACACCTTGCCGAATCCTCCCCGGCCAATGACTAAAGCCTCGTCGAAGTTTTGGGTCGCCGATTGAATCTGAGAAAGAGTAAAACGTTGACATGTCTGGTCTGGGAATATGAAAGAGGAGTTGGTATCTTTGATAGGTGTGGGTAACATCGTCGTTTAGCTTCTCCTGATCGGACCTTTGATTCTTCACAATATCTCTTGTATCCGGAAAAGAGCTTCAGAAGTCCGTCAGTGAACGGGATGATTTCGTCTGGTTCTTGTGCTGCTAGCGGATGTCCGACCATTGACTTTGTTGGTCTTCGCCTACTTTTTTTTTTTTTGTTTGTTTGGGATTGGAATGGAAGCAAGATACTTGTGGATTCATTTTAATTTTTAAACCTTTAGAAAACAAAAATTACACAATTGGTCCCTGTAGATTGCTAAAACTCGCATGTTTTTGGTCCTTGAGGTTTGTAAGCATTGCACACATGGCACAAGTGTATTTTGGTTTGTAGTACGCCAATGTTTACCTCCTTTATAGTTTATCTAAAAGAAAAAAATAAATATGAAATTAAGATGATAATCAAGATGTATTAACTTGTTGTTTAAATTACAATAATTATTTAAAAAGTTTAAATTTATAAGAAAAATTAGAAAAATATTGAATTAATAAAATTAAAGTGTTTTTTTTTAATTTAAACGAATAAACAAAAGAAACTAATGATGTTTTGATTTATTAATTTTGAAATTAGAAAGAAAGTCGATTAATGAAATTGTTATACATTTATTATTACAGTTAAATACTATTGGAACTAGATGGGAATCATGCATGCCCATTGGCGTTGGCTCATTTTTTTTTTTTTTTTTGTTCTTTCAGGTTGTATATGTCCTGCAACATACCATTATATTGATGAAGATATATTTAACATACAATAGATTTTTGGATAGGTCTTATATAGAAATTTATAAAATGTTATAATGTAAAACAGTATTGATATATATATATATATATATATATATATATATATATATATATAGAGAGAGAGAGAGAGAGAGAGAGAGAAATTTAGGAAAGGTTATAATGTAAAACGGTATTGATATTCTAATCTTCGCATCGTGTTTTTCTAAAGGGTATGTAAGAATCTTTGCTTTCTTGAGTTTTTGGGGTTGAATTTTTTTCTTGATTGTTTTCTTGAAATACACCCCTTCTTGATCATCTCTACCACATCATATAGAGCCTAAAGGTCATAAGTTACTAATAATTTACCTTTCCAGAAATGATTTTAATATTATGATCCAATGTCTGATGATTTATTATGTCAAACAAGCCGTTTTCAATCAAGAGCAAGTTATAAAATGGATATCCCTAGTGATGGAGCTATATCAGAGACACAATTACAGAGCCCTAATGGAAGTGAAAAATGTCAAGGTTCATGTCTATAGGCATCTCCTAATGGAGGCCAAAAGATTGAAATTAGCAAACATATTTTTTTGTAACAAAGCTGTGAATATGAAAAACATTGTTGCTGTTGGATTTGATATGGATTATACACTTGCACAATACAATCCTAAAACTTTTGAGTCCCTTGCATATAATGGCACAGTGAAAAAGTTAGTCACTAACTTGGGATACACTAATGAGGTTTGTTTATGTTAATCATACAAAATCTTGATGAAATTTGCAAATGAAATTATTTAAATTGTATAAGTTTTAGAGTTAAATGCAAACTATAACCATGAAATTTTCATCCTATTTTCATTTTTTATTATTACAATGTTGAAAGTACCATGCTATACTTGTGTAAAATTTTCAAATTACAATGTCTTAATAAGAAAAAAAAAAACTGTTGTAGTCTATAAGTTTTGGGTATTTTATAGTTTTCTATTTGATGCAGTTGCTTGATTGGTCTTTTGATTGGACTTACATGGTGAGAGGATTGGTATTTGTTAAAAAGAGAGGAAATATATTGAAGGTTTGTGTTTTTCATGTATAAATTTTGAGCCATATCATATAAAAATGAATCCCAGTGTTTTATATTTTTTCAAAAACTTTTTTACAGATGGATAGCCATAAATATGTGAAAGTGGCATATCAGAGATTTAGGTTATTGTTAAAAGACAAAAAAGTTGCTACATATGGCAACACTTTGGTTTGTGATGCATTTGATGAGCCTGATTATGCACTCATTGATACCATTTTCTCATTGGCTGAAGCTTATTTATTTGCTCAGCTTGTTGACTTTAAAGGAGTAAGTTGTGGGAACTGGAATTCACGATTCCATTCCATTGTTTGTTTGGTTGCCAAATGAACAGAATTCAATTCAATTTTTTCAAGTTTCTTCAAATTCCATGTTGGATGTATTTCACCACGAATTCAATTTCATTTGTTTTTTTACTAAAAGACCAAAATACCCTCGTGTTTTTGCAGCTATTTTCGAATGTACAAAGATGTGATGGGCGTTTACATTCCTTTGATACATTTCCTCAATAAATACATTGATTTAGGACATTCTGATAGATGCCCTAAATACATACATTGCTTTAGGACATGTAATTATTTAGGACATGTATGAAATTCTTACATATTTAAAGAAACTAAATGGGAAAGAGAATAAATAGACATCCAACAACTTATTTTCAAATTAATGAGGTCAATGCTTTAATTTTCAAAATTGAGATATTATCCTTTCCAGATGTGAAATAAATATGAAAACTTTCAAACTTTGATCACCTAAAAAAACTCCCTTTCCAGATGTGAAATAAATATGAAAACTGTCAAAGTTGTTTTTGATTGGTTAGCCATTGATGCATGCACTAATAACTAATTAGGGGGAGTTTGGTACGTTGGATTCCATAGGATTTGGCCGAAATTGGAATTTAGTTTATTCTAATCCAGCATTTGGTTGCAAATAAGTACCGAATTGAAATCCCATGGAATCAATACCAACATTTCCTGGTTAAATTGAAGTTCCCCAATACCATTTTAACCCTCTCATTTCACAAGTAAACGCACATATGCTTTCCCTCGAACTTCTCACAAGCACTAAGAATTCCATTCCATTTTCTGCCAACCAAATGCATGACATAATTCAATTCCTTCAGATTTCAAATCCTTTTGGCAAATTCCAAAATATGCTACACTCCAAACGCCCCCTCAAATTTTTTAGCCATAGGGGTAAGTCATAATTGCATGGTAAATACTTGGTTGGTGATTGGCATATCATTCAAATATATATATATATATATATATATATATATATATATATATATATATATATATATATATATATATATATATATATATATATATATATATTCATAAGATAAAAAATGATTCACTTTCAATACCATCTGCAGGCGATAGTCCGTGAAGACTATCAAATGTTTCTTCGTGCCTCTCAAGTATGCCTTCTTGATAACGAAAGCATTCAGGGGCGGCATAATATCGATTTATTTGGACCGTATAAGAATCAAAAACATAATCTGAGAGCCGGGATTTAAAATCCTGCAAACAAGCGTATAAGAATTAGAAAACGAAACTAAAATTTATGTTAGGCTGAGATGCTAAGTTGCTGTCGAGCATATCAAGGACATAGCAGAGTCTATTATGGATAAATTGGAGAACGGAAAAAAGAGGTCAGATTTCAAAGGCTCGTAACTTTTAATTATTCAGGATTCAACTTATATGAACAGAAAGCTCTTAAGTCTTAACAGGTCATAGCTTGAACAACTTAAAAGGGCCCCACATGTCTATTTTTCTGTTTTGGCATCCGATTATGAGTTTCCCCCGATTCATGCTACTCTCCCATTTTAAATTATTTCTTTCTAGTTGGAAAATCTTGAGAGTTTTATTTTTTATTTTTTTTTTTAATTTTTTTTTAAATAATGGCTCGTTGGAAGTTAAATTCACCAAAATTAGTTTTTCGCCTACGCCCAAGTTTGAACCCGGGACCTCCAATCTAAGAGGCTTCCTGAGAAAGTGACGATCTCAATACCCAGGAATGGGTAGAGAATGAGTATATATATACAATAAATTTACAAATAAGCACCCTCACAAATATGAAAATTACAAAATATTAATAGTGACATATATCCCCCCGCAAGCGAAACGGGGGTGGACCAAGACAAAGCATATTCCGGAAGAGTTCAAACTCATGTCGAGGTAGACTTTTGGTACATATGTCCGTCACTTGAAGCTTGGTAGGAATGAATATTGTATGAAGCTTGCCACTTGCAACTAGTTCTCTGCGAAAATGATAGTCCAACTCAATATCTTTCCCCCTGTTAGGTGAGACCAGATTTTGAAAGAGAAATATAGCACTTTGATTGTCACACAAGGGAGTTAGCCGACCATCAGGTAAGGCATGGAGCTCACGTAGAAGATGTGTGCGCCATACAATTTCCGTAGCCGTATTTTCCATTGCTCGATATTCAGACTCACAACTCGAGCAAGAAACTGTAGGCTGCTTTTTAGCGCTCCATGATTTATGGGGGCCATCCCCCGTTCTTTCGGTTAATGCTTATCGCTATTATGTGTCGTTTGTTAATGATCACTCAAGATTCACTTGGTTTTATCTTCTCAAAGCAAAATCTGAGTTTTTTGGTGTACTTGATAAATTTATGAAGTTTGTTCAAACTCAATTTGCCACTAAAATAAAATAAAAAAAATTCAAAGCGATGGAGGAACTGAAATTTTGAACAATAATGTAAAAACGTTACTTAGCGACAATGGTACGTTTTCATCAGATTCCGTGCCCCTATACTCCGTAACAGATTGGTCGTGTCGAACGGAAACATCGACACATTGTTGAGACAGGGCTTGCCATGCTTTTCCATGCTCATGTACCTCCCTCGTATTGGGTTCATGCCTTTGCATCCGTGATCTACATTATTAATCGCTTGCCTACCAAGATTCTCTCTTCAAAGTCTCCTTTTGAAGTTCTGTTTGGTCGTGTTCCCTCATATGTCAATTTTAAACCATTTGGTTGTCGGGTTTATACGTACTTATAGGGATATACCTCTAACAAACTTGCTCCAAGGAGTAGTGTGTGTATCTTTATTGGATATAACCCCCAATATAAGGGTGATCAATGTCTTGACCCACTTACATCACGAATTTATATCACTCGACATGCACGTTTTGATGAGATGAGTTTCCCGTACAAAGACATACCTTCCAATACACCTCTCTCTACTCTCACCCTTCACACATTTCTCAATGACATATCTCTACCCTCCTTATCCACATCACCTTCCCTTCTTACACCACCCACCCCTACGCCTTCACATGTGCCATGCAACCTATGTCCACCTCCACCACCTGGTGTTGTGTTTCCCGAGACCCTTCCCTCCAATGACGACTCATCTCCACAATGGACCAAGTCCAAGACATGTAAAACACGTTTTGAATTAAGCTTAAATGGTAAACGACAAGATTTAGCTAATTGGCAAGGTGAACATATGACCGGTTTCGGTAAAATAGAAGAAACCTCCAAATGTCCCAAATTACGTAATAATGAAATAGTATCAAATGAAGTGTGACCCAATCTAGAATGTCACAATTCATAAGAGCCTTTATTTTTATGTTGAACAAAAAGGTCTTGAACTTGAGGAGCCGCAGACAACACATATAGACCATGATCACACTTTCCTTGTGCTAGCACTTCCTTCGTTAGGCGATCCTGAATGGTAAACATATTGCGGGAAAAAACAACATCCACATCATTGTCATGAGTTAGTTTACTGACAGACAATAAATTTTTGGTAAGGTTGGGAACAACCAAAACATCATTTAAGCAAACATTATTCGCAATGGTAGAAGTACCAACATGAGAGATAGGAAGAGAAGTGTCGTTACCAAAGAGAACCGAGGCATCCCCAACAGAAGGTGTGGAGTTTGTAACCAAGGCCCCAAAATCCACATACCAATCTGGTGCTGGAGTGTTCACATGACACTGCGCATGAAAAGCACGAGCAAGATCATAATCACGAGAAGGAGATGCATTCGCAAAATATGCAAGTTGAGGACATGAATTTGCGTAGTGGCCATTGGTACAACAAAGTTGACAGTGAGGTGGTCGACGACCACGACCACCCGGAGGGGTGCGACCACCTCTGCCACGAAAACCAGAAGAAGGAAAAATGCCCTGCTGAGTTAAGGATGGGACCTGTAAATGAGGTGGTTGAAGAGTAGTATGGGGAGACACCAATAAAGGGTGATGATGGTCTTGTTGAGCAGAAAAAGCAACATGAGGGGTGGATCCATGAATTGATTGATGGAACATTTCATGTCCCTCAGCCTGTGCCAAAAGATCACGAAAAACAGAAGGAACACGGGAGGCGTGGACAGCAGTAGAGAAGGTCTCAAAAGCAGCCCCAAGACCACAGAGAAACCAATGGGTCTTGTCTGATTCATCAATAGGTTGACCAACGGCTGAGAGTTGGTCACAAATATTTTTAAATCTTGTACCAAATTCAGAAACAATAAGATTACCCTTCATGAGATAGCGTAATTGATCACGAAGGGTTTGAATTCTCTCCATGGATTAGTTGCCATAGGCCCATTCAAGGGCAACCCAGATAGTTCGAGCAGTGGAGAGACCCACGATATTAGAAAAAGATTCCTCTGTGAGAGAGACATTAAGAAGAAGTATTGTGCATTGGTCTGCTATAATCCACTCGTGATAGGCATGATTTGAAGTTGATTTTGCTGCATCAGGAAATTCTGATGGGAGAGACGAAGATCCATCGACATACCCTATCATCCCTTGATAAGTAAGAAGATGCGTCATCTGGTTCATCCACAGTAGGTAATTTGTGGATGAAATCTTGATAGTGATTAAGTGAAGCATGGTGTTCATGGGGAGATCAGAATCGTGGGTAGAGGATGAGGTAGAAACCATTGCTAAAAGAGAAGGAAAGAAACGGAAGTGGGAAGAAGAGGGAAAGAACCGATCAAGGCAGAGGAATCGTAAAGGGGTGCTCTGATACCATGAGAAAGTGACGATCTCAATACCCAGGAATGGGTAGAGAATGAGTATATATATACAATAAATTTACAAATAAGCACCCTCACAAATATGAAAATTACAAAATGTTAATTGTGAATTATACTTCCACCTCTACCAAATTGAAAATCTTGCGAACTTCATGATTTCAGAAGATCACATTGTTAGCTAGCATCTTGATTTCACTCGTTTTCAAACAATTTTAATGTTATGAAATATGGCAATACATGTCAGATTGCGAATTAATAAAATTCACAAGAGAAATTAAATATTATCCTACCTTCCTTCTTACATATCCTCAT